GGGGGGGGCGCCGGGCTGGGCCTCAGCTCCTCTCCGCCGCAGCTCCGCTGGAGCAGGCGGCACGGGGTGCGGGACGGCGGGAAGGGGGCGCCTCGCGTGCACCCCGCCACACTCACCACTACGGCATCACTGTCGGCCACCGATCCCGCCATCTTTTTGCACTGCGCGGGGGGGTGCACTGCTGGCGGCCCGTCCGCGGGGGACGTGGGTCGCGGCGCGCGGGCGGTGATCCCGGGGCGGACCTGCGCGGGTCCGAGAATGGCTCGGGCGCGCACTCACGCGCGGGCACGCGCGCGCGCACGCCTGGGGCCCCGGCGCCGACCGGGCTGGCAGGCCCAGGAGCAGGGGGAGGGGACAGGGAGGCGGCGCCGGCCGTGAGGTCGGAGGTGGCCGCTGCTGCCCGGACCGCGGCGGCCGAGTCCGTGCTGTTGTCTGTTTCAGGGTGCTGCTGTCGCCACCCGAAGAAGAAAGGTGGCAAGGGCCGCACCGTGCCGGCCCTGGGCGGCATTTAAAGGCTGCTGGGGCCCGGCTTGGGAACCGGGAATTGGGCGGTGACCCGGCTGGGCTGCCGCGGCTTGCTCAGCTGGCCCTGCCCCTCGGTCATTGGACAGTGGAAGGAGACTGGGGCGGGAGGCACGGGCCTGTCCGGGTAGGGGCGTGCGTGAGGTCGAGGGCCTTGTAGGACCTCCCCGTAGTCAGGGTGGGTGGGGCTGGGGAATGGGGGAGTGAGGGGACTTGCCAGGTGACAGGTGCTTGTGACATCCCTGCCCCTCCCATCCAGCCAACCCCCTTCCTTCTCGGGCTACAGCCTGGGACAGGTAGGAGAGTGGAGTGCGAAGTCAAAGGAAGACTGGGGGGTGGGGAGTGTGTGGGGGGGTGGCATCCCAGAGTTCGAGATTTCCTTCAGAGAATTCCAAAAAGTGGGAGGAAAGAGTCTTTCGGCTCTCTGGGGTAGAAAGATAATGAGGTCTCTTAGGGTTGCATAAGTAAATATTTGGCCCAAAAGCCAGAGGCAGAGAGGATTCCCGGTAGGGACTTATATGTCCCAGGAGATTAGGTGCAGAAGAGGCCTCTCTCTCTCTGTGGAAGCATGGGCAAGCCTGGGGGTCCCCCGAGGCTCTTTCAGGCTGGGGTCTGACTGAGTCTTACCAAATTGATTTGGGCACAGCCACTGTCCTCAAAGAGACTCCATTGGGCCCTGTTTTTTACAAGACATCTGCCCATTTTAGGGCAGCAAGTTTGTCATTGAAAATCTCCTGATATCCTTTGTGGAGTAATTCCCAAGGGGTGCACCCCTCTTTATTCCAAGGCACAAATTGCTTTATGGCATTTCCACTTTAAGATGATTATGTAACTTCTCAGATAAAGATGTATCAACATACCCTCTATTAGGTGACATCTTGGCTTAAACATTCCAATGTGTGAATCACCAGGGTGTTTTACACTAATAAGCAGGGAGCATGTGTGACTTACTGCTTCCAGAGGGGCCCTCAGCGGCTCCCTTCCAGCCACTGTTGCTGGCTGTGTGGCCTGGAACATTACTGGCTTTTGTGTCTTAGCTTTCCCTTTATGGACCAGAGCTAATTGTGTTAATCTCAGTTGAGTAGGGAGAATTACCTACCCATGCCCTGTAAGCCACAGTCATCTGTGTGTTCTCTGAATTAGACACTGAAGTGCAGCACAGTTGTGGCTCACATTTTTTTCACATTTTATTTACCAATCTTAGCTCAAAATCGCACCTTATTGATTATTTTAAAGTATTGGGCATCTGTAGCAAACTTGATATTTTGAAAGTGCACTTTGGTATACCTCAATTTCTGAGAGTCTGGTATAGGGAAAACCCATTGAAGTTGTCATTAGCTAAGCTGAGGGACGTGATACATCATGGTGGGTAAAGAGCCTGTGTCCTCATTTCAAATCCTGGCTCTACCATTGACTAGCTGAGTGATCTTGGACAAGTTACTAAACTTCTCTGTGCCTCAGTTTCTTCATCTGTGAACCAGAAATGAGGGCAATGGTGATGACAATAATGTCTATCTTGTGCTATTGGGAAGATTAAGTAAATTGGTTCCTGTACCTTCCTTAGAATGGTACCTGGCACACAGCAAGCACTTATTCTATAAAAATAAGGAGTGCCTGCCATGTACCAGACAGTAGGGATTCAGTATGGACTTTTTTGTTGAGCTTATGTTATAGAGGGGGAGTGTAGTCGATAAATAAATATATGTCAGCTGGTAAAAGTGTTAGGAAAAATAGAAAAGTAAAGTGGGAGAAAGGGAGAGAGATAGGAGGTGGGGCATAGGGTGGTCAGGGAGGCCACCTATGGAAAAGTGATGTTTGAGAAGACCCCTAAATGGAGGGAGGGAGTCATTTGGAAGTCTGGAAGAAGTTGCCAGCAGAGCCCAAAGGGCAAAGTCCCCAGGGTGAAGTAAATGAAGAAAGTGTTGGGTGCAGCAACTAAAGAGATAAGTAATTAGGGCCGGCCGAGTGGCGTGTTGGTTAAGAGCTGGCTTGGGATGCCAGAGGGCCCCGGTTCAGATCCCACATATGAGGGCCAGTGACACTGCCCTCTACAGCTAAGATGCTGAGCAACAGCTCAACCTGGAGCTGGGCTGCCGTGAGTCGCCGGCGACGGCGTAGGCTGCAGCCCCTGCTGCAGTGGGTTTGCCATGGGCTACTACTGTGTGTGGCCGACAGCCAGCATGAGCAGCCAGCAGCCGCAGTGAGCGGCTGTCCAGAAGCCGGCGACTGATCTGCCTCGCCTGGGAAGAGCGCAATGATGGTGCCAACTTGGGCCAGTGAAGCAACGTCCTCCACAACTAGACTGAAGAACAAACAGACAGTAACTTGTCTGTTTCCCTTCCCCAGTTCCCCAGTGCTGTTTCCATCCCTCAATTCCCCAATAAAAATCTTAAAAAAAAAAAAGAGAGATAAGTAATTAGAAATGGAATAGGCCATGTAGACCATGTGAGGATTGACTTTTACTTAGGCGAGATGGAAGGACATTGGACATTTCTGAACAAAGGACATAGTTTGCCTTCTGTTGTAGATGCATCTCTCTGGCTGCTGTATGGAGTGGCCTTTGTGAGGAGGGTAATGTATAAGAGGCTGGGCAGAAGCAGGGCTTAGGAGGCTTCTGCCCCAGACCAAGCAAGATATAATGGTGGCTTTGACACAGTGGAAGTAGTGAAGATGTGAGAAGCTGTGGGCCCTTGATAAGTCCTAGCAGTTGTCATTAGGTAGCTTTGAGAGTTCATGTCGACTTCTAAGCCTCAGTTTCCTCACTGCAAAATTAAGGGGTTGGGCTCATTCGTCATTCCTTCTTAGCTCTTAGAAGGTTCTTCTGGTTCCTGAAAAGCTGTGTGAGTAGCATCTAAATTTAAATGGGTTTGAGAGTTGGTGCTGCTGAATAAAAATTATCTTGGGTTGCATCTTTTGATACGTGGTTTTGTGGGGGTGAAGAATAACCCTTTGATTTATTTTGTAAGTGGAGTTGAAGATATTTGAATTGCTTGAGATGAGTTTTTTACATTTTGGGAATGTAAAGAATAGGATGGTACTAAACCTGCCCAGAACACTTTGGCAGGGAAAATTGCCTTTTATTTCAAAAGTGTTTGATTCCTTCTCAATCAATCTATAGAATGGTTCATTTTGAATACGGAGAGCAGGGAGCAGGCCTAAATGAGATCTTTGTTATAATTACAGCTGAGCAGTGTCAAACTGCCACTTACAGGGAAAAGTCATTAGCAAATTAATGAATTCCAGAACTTAAAAACATTTTTTTTTGTATCATGAATGATAGACAAGCTTTGCTCTGTGCTTTGATTACAAGCATTTACGTGTGTCTAAAAATCATTAACTGAGATTGTGACTCTTAGGAAATGCAACAGTGATATTTCATGATGAACTGCATCACTACTGGAAACTACTAAAAAAGTAAAAAAAAGCAGGGGGAGCAGTCAAACAGATGATTAGCATCAAAAAGGAATATAAACTGGTCTTTGAAGATAGAGTTTGCTAAATGATCTACCCAGATGAAAACCAGTAGATCACTTTCTTTTTTCCTTCCCATTTAATATATTTTATTCAAATGTTTACCTCTAGAATTTCTCATATTGGGAGGAGAATATAGCTTTGACGTCAATTCAGCAGCCATTTTATGAGTATTGCTATGTGCTGTGATACCTTGGACCAAAAAGAGATATTTTAAAATGCATGAGTCTTGTCTTCGAGGAGCTTACAGCTCTCTTTGGGGACCAAGGCAGAATGTAGTGGTGGGTAAAATAATAAAGGCCTCAGACCTATAGCCTGAACACTGAGAGTGGGGGAGATTTACTCCCATTCGGAGGATTAAGGCAGCTTTCTGGAGGAGATGGCACATCTCTGACCACATGCATAGTAGCAACTTCCACAGTTTCACAAAAGCAAGTCTTCAAAGACCAAATTGTAACCCTATTCATGGCCTGAATTCTTTTTTTTTAAATTTATTAAGTTTATTGGGGTGACATTGGTTAGAAAAATTATATAGGTTTCAAGTGTTCATTTCTATGGTACATCATCTATATATTGCACTGTGTGTTCACCACCCAGAGTCAGCTCTTTTTCCATCACCATATATTTGACCCTCTTTTCCCTCTTTTACCAACCCCACTCCCACCTTACCCTCTGGTAATCGCTAAACTGTTGTATGTGTCTATGAGTTTTTGTTTCTTTATTTGTTTGTCTTGTTCCTTTGTTGCTTTCAGTTTTATATCCCACATATGAATGAAGTCATATGGTTCTTGACTTTTTCCATCTGACTTATTTCGCTTAGCGTGATAATCTCAAGATCCATTGTGTATATGTACCACATCTTTATCCAAGCATCTATCAAAGAACACTTTGGTTGTTTCCATTTCTTGGCCACCGTGAATAATGCTGCAATGAACATTGGGGTATGTACATCTTTACGGATAAATGTTTTCAGATGTTTTGGGTAGATACCCTGGAGAGGGATTGCTGGGTCATATGGTAATTCTATTCTTAATTTTTTGAGGAACCTCCACACTGCCTTCCATAGCGGCTGCACCAATATGCATTCCCACCAACAGTGTATGAGGGTTCCTTTTTCTCCACTGCCTCTCCAACACTTATTATTTGTCTTGTTGATGATAACTATTCTAACTGGTGTGAGGTGATATCTCATTGTGGTTTTGATTTGCATTTCTCTGATGATTAGTGATGTTGAGCCTTTTTTTCATATGTCTAT